CACCATCTCATCATCTCAGACACTTTACTCACCGCCCCTCCTTCAGTCTTGGCCGTCACCTTCCCCCCTTCCCTGCTTTGCACTGTTGCTTTCACGAAGGACTCTTTAGGGTCCGCCACAAAGACTGATGTCTTGGCATCAAAAGGCTTATTCTGGGCCTCAATGCGCTCCTTTTCAGACTTTCGGAGGTACGGAGCTGCCTCCCCAAAAATGGCCATCTCGGCGTCGGAACTCATGGCTGCAGGTTATTGGCGGCAGCCCAGTCGAAGACCCTGCCTGGGAAAGAAAGGAAAAGTATTATAGACATTCAGATATTATATATTTCACGTTTAGAAAAAGAAAACATTCTGTATTCACTTAACATTGCGTAGAGTGTGGCCACGTTTGGCTAGAGACGAAATATGGGTGTTTGTGTTTTGTGCCAGCACTGATAGGTACTTAACTTAGTCAAGCATTTGGAAAGAGACTGTGGTTTCTGGCTCTGGCTCACCTGCTGTATGACCTGGTAGCTGCTTTCTGTTTCATCTGTATACACATTCATTTCTGTTAAGTTGCCTGTGACTGGCTTATACAGGGCACAGAGCTAGGCTCTGGCAGAGTTTCCTCCAGCTCTTTCGCTGAGAGCACTCTTCCAACTGGATTATAAGCACCTTGCAGGCAGGGAGTGCTTTTCCTTCTACAGCATCCTTCACGCCTCTTAGAACACATACGGGATACATGCAAGGGCTCAAAGCTGGCTTTGTGAATTTGCAGCACAATGGATTTCTGTTGCTAAAATTCTAGGAACTATTTTGTACATAGTGAACACCTTTTCATTACAGATTTGGATTCATTATAGACTCACAAAGACTACCTAAATCAAGGAAAGCAGAAACGGGGGTGGGGGTGGGGGGGGTGCGCTTTGCTTTGCGTTGTTTTGTTTAAAAAAAATTCTTATTTTACATCAATGTTTTCTTGTTCCCATACCGTAATTTTGACAAATTTGGCTTCTTCACCTGTCTTTAGTATTTCTGAAAGACTAATTCTAAAATATTATTATCTGTTTTCTTGCTTTATTATTGAGAATCTCAGAAAACTTTCACAAAATTTCCTTTCCAAGATCTGTCTCTTGCCACTTTAACTAACATTCATTAATCCTGTGCTTAATGATAGTGATAGTAGGTAGTGATAGATAGTAGTGATAGATAATGATAGTGATCATAGGTAATTTATTTTATAATCATAAAGATATTTTTCCAGAAAGACTCAAAGCACTTGTGTAAGGTTTCCCATGCTTTCCCATTCAAGCTGCAGGGATTTGGGTAACACAAAATGCTTTGTCTTGCTGAAAATGCTCAGTCATTTACATATCTTTCTTTTTTAATTTCCATTTTATGGACTGTGAAACAACATACATGTTTAAGCCACTTTTCCAAGGCAAGGATTCAGTTCATTCAGATAGTCTCTCATGGTTTTTTTATATTATATGATGTTGAGGCAAAGCTGTAGTATAGGAAATTTACATTTTCTCTATAAATGAATAATAACACCAAAATGTTGTATTACATGTTGTAACTCATTTAAAAGACAGACTGCAGTGCTGGTAATAGAAAAAAACTGTGTATAAAACTTCTCAAGACTCTAAGAAAGCATTTTCATATATTGCAGAGGCTATAAATTAATGAGAACCAGTTTCTAAAGTCCCCTTCAGAATTTTTTCAAGGGAAGCATGATCAGCCATGAAATGAAAATGCTTTCAATTTATAACCCCCCGAGCACTCTCCAACCACCTTCAGAAGATTTCTTGCCTCCTGTGAGGAATAAGAAAAAAAAAATCAGTATCTTACCTTAGGGATGCAACCTTGAAGTGGGTCAGAACTGTAAGAGAAAGAGCAAATTTCTTCTGATTAAATTCTAGCGGTTCCCAATAATAGCATAATTGTTAGGCGAGAATCAGGAAATGACTGGGGACACTGAAACATCTAATTAAAATTGCCACGGAGTAAGTAGGTGCCTTACTGGAAGGGCTGCCAGGGGCAGGGAAACCGGGATGTGTGGCATGTATGAGGGTGGCCAAGTATCCCTTACCGTCTCCAGACAGAGCCCTGTCCTCACACACACTTACCTTGAAGCTTTATGAGGAAAGACGAGCCAACTCATTCCAAGGGTACTTTTATAGGGTCAAATATGGAAAACACGTAGCCTCCTCCTCTTTCTTAAAACATATTTGGCAAAACATGTTTTTGGCAATGAAGGTCTCCAAGCATAATTCCCCTCATATTAAAGATGTTTGGATATAATTAGAAGTATTTCCTCTCACATTGGGTTAAGTATATGAATCAATCTCCTATAAATAATTTGAGAGGTCGGCAATCTGAAAGTGATCTGCCTTTGGAATAATGTAAGGTGTTGTTTCAGAGACAGCTATGTTCTGCCATCCCTGGACTTTGTTGCTGCCGTCATTCTGTTTCGCTGAGCTGCCTGTGTGAAGTCTCTTCCACTGGCCGAACAATTGCAGATATTAGAGTAGGAAGGGAGGTTGCAGCTCTTGACCAGAGTGGTAGGAAGAGGTGGTTAGTCGCCCCCAGGAAGGCACGAGTTTTGTTTGTTTGTTTTCTTTGCAACTTATTGTGCTTTCCTGAGGGTGCTTGGAAACGTAATTTTGAATTTTGAAACTTGCTTCGTGAAGAGCAGCCAAGGACAGCTTCTTTTGTTGCGTCCAGTCGGCTCCCTCTGATTCATTGTCAGATCAGACCACTCCCACTTCAAGCTGGCTCCAGACTTCTTTGCCTCGCCAAGCTGAGGTGTCCACTTCTCTCATTTTTTGAAAATGCAAGTTGCTTGTGAAATCCTGTTTCCTCTATGAAACTCAACATAGGAAAATATGAGAAAGCAGGGCATTTCTCTGTCTAGAGGCAGCACCTGTGACTCCTCCACCAGCTACCCATGGTATATATTTCACATTTTGCTTACAAACGATACCTGAACATTGTTTTCTATTCTGATTTTTTAAGAGATGTTTGTTATTGTGTCTGTCTTGTGTCTCTCTGTGTCTGCATTGTCTGTCAGCGGCTGAGACCCAAGTTGCTGCATATACTCTGTTTGGCAACAGTTCCTGTATTCTTGCACTTACATTTCAATCCGTTTAATGAAATGGGTCACCTTCTGAAAGCACGTGTCTAGAGATACTGGTTGTACTGGTCATGGGATCTATTACTGTAAGGGACCAACAGACCCATATTCCTCATTTTACTAAGGAAATAGTGGAGGTCCAGAGAATAGAAGGGAGTGACCACAAATTACTCAGCAGCCTTGACTCTGGTCACCTGACTGGTATGGCAGCCCAGCGTGCTTTCTGGTATCACTCTTGTGTCTGGAGTAGATTAAAGCCATCAGGAAGGGTCTTATAGGAGTCATGCGTCTGATGGAGCCTTCCTAGCCAACTCCTAACCTGCTTGGTTACCACAGGTATAGATAGAATTTTACTTTCTTTCATAACTGGGTTTTTTTTTTTTTTTTCACATTCATTTTCTTTAGCAGACCTCCAAGAAATGTGGGCAGTGGTTTTCAGGAAGACAGAACATTTTAATAATGTTCTCAGTAGGATTTGATACGAATTTTAAGGTAGTCCTTTGACCCACTCTGGACAGATTTTGCAGTAAGTTTGTTGTAACACGTTGGTTTTGGTCATTACTGCCAAGTTACCAGGCACTGAAGCATTTATAGGTGGTGTGGGAACAAAGTGAAAGCGGGGCCAAAGCAGTGAGAAGGGTGATCCCACACCCTTCCTAAGGCCAGAATGACAGTGGGAATCCTAGTTACCTGCTAAGCTGCTTCCTTGTGTCTGATTTAAGTCACTCTCCTGCAGTACATTTAAACCAATATACTCTTGCTTTCAATTCACATGGATAGTGACCACTTGGCTTTTCCTTTATGCTATCTAGGAAGGTCATACTTTTGGCTCTGCACCTCAACTGAATTCATTTTTGAAAATTTTGATCATCAGGGTACCTATGTGGCTCAGCCGGTTAAGTGTCCAACTCTTGATTTTCAGCTCAGATCATGATCTCATGGCTCATGAGTTTGAGCCCAGCATTGGGCTCTGTGCTGATGGCACAGAGTCTGCTTGGGATTCTCTCTCTCTCTCTCTCTCTCTCTCTCTCTCTCTCTCTCTCTGCCCCTTCCCTACGTATGCTGTCTCCCTCTTTCTCTCAAAGTAAATAAATAAACTTAAAAAAAATCTTGATCATCTAGAAAAACTTCTCTGAGTAATCCAGATTGCTACAATATCTGGGTTTTTGCACCACAGTGATACTCATTATTATGTGTGTTGAATATGCACCTAAGTTATCTAGGGACTCATATTTTATTGACACTTTTGATCATTTATTTATTTTGGCTCTTCACATGATTATACAGGCAGCCATCAAATCTGGAAACATAGGCTAATAGCTTATTGATATTACATTGGAGTATATAGAATAATATTCTCTTTGTCTCCAGACTTGATAGGCACCCTGTAGTTTTACTAGGGAGAAGGGTATATCTCACTCTTGCATGGCATACCCATTACCCGATGTGTGTTCTCTGAATATATGGTGTATCGGCATTAGTGCTGCAAAAAATCCTTGTGGGCTAATGATACTAATACTTTGGATTTGTATTCTTGATAACATCAAGGAGAAGTAATGATATAGTGTAGTCTATTTGGGAGTATAGCTGCTGTCATTCTTTGCATAGACCTGGAAAAGTAGGTTTATGTTAGGGGAATCAGGAGCTTTCTAAGATCCTTCTATGACCTGGCATTAGGGAAAGGTTAGAAAGAAAGGAAGGTGACCCTCAGATATCTTCCAAAACAGACTTCCCTGATAGGCAACAACTTTGTAGTCTTAAAGTATTTTTATATACTTAAAAGTGAATGCTACTTCTTAATGGCAGGTTGAGTGTAATTGTTTGATAGCCTTGTGATTATTCTAGCTTTGACACCGCTTTAGGAGAGAGAGAAAAGACCAGTCTAAGGATGCTGTTTGCAAAGTACCCTATGCTCTTTATTTCCTTTGCAGTAGGGTAGAATAGACAATAATTACAGAAGGAAATGACCAAAGACTTCACATTTTGTGCCTCTCTTCAGTCGTTCCGTAGCATCAGGACATGATCACTCTTCACTTATGATTTTCGTGTGGACCTCCCGGCTCTTTACCCGCAGCTTGTTGACCTGGGACTCAGCAATATCAGCGCGTTCCTCAGCCTCCTCCAGCTCGTGCTGGAGCTTGCGGAATTTAGATAGATTTGTGTTGGATTGTTCCTCCTGAGAATGAAAATGGAATTGTAAGGAATCCCCACTGTGCATCTTTCTAGACTCTGTAGATCTAAGGGAAGAAAGGACTTGGCATGTATGGAGAACTTAAAATACTCAGCAGGGAACCTTGTTGTCTTACTGCCTCCTGGATTTTGGTTATTATTGAAGTGAACATTATGATTTATTTGGGGCTTGGTGTCCCACAAATAATTGCAACCCTATTTTTGCAATGAAAACATATTAAAAGATATGCACCACAAGTAAAGCAGAAAAAATATATAAGAGCAGAGCAGGCAAGAATACTGAAGTCCTGCTTCTTGTCAATGCTTTCTATAAGGTGACTGTAGGCTCGAGATAGATATTCTTTATATAGATATAAAGATAGATATTCTTTATCATATAAAGGATGAATTTCTTAATAGTGTCTTTAAATTGAAATAAATGTTGAATTTTATATATCATTTTGGAACATTTCAAAACAATCATTTTTTTGTCCTGTTTTGGATGTAATGATTCTACTGACAGATTCGCTAATATTAAGTAATCCTTACACTGAAGGAATTAAGCCTATTTAATCATGATGGACAATCCCCTTAATAAAATAAGGTTTCGGCGAGTTAGTTATTTATCTTTGCTGTAACTACATTCATGAGTAAAACTGCCTTTAGTTCCATGCTGCCCTCCCCCCCACTCCCCCGCCTTCTCTCTTGGACAGGTTTTGGTATGAGGGTTACGTGAGCTTCTTAAAATGATCTGGAAAGCTTTCCATCTTTTCCCATGCTCTGGAATGGCTTACATAGCTCAGGGATTATCTGTTACTTGAAATTTTGAAAGACCTATCTGGACCTGAGTCCATTTTCAGAAGTAAATGGACTTTTATAGCCTCCTATAAAAATCATCAATTTTTTTAAAAATCATCAATTTCTGTAAGATTTCAACTTTGTTGACAGATTTATATTTTACGTAAAAAATAATTTTCTGATTGTGTGGTTTGTCTCTTTTCTCATTTCTTTCTTTATTTTTCAGTAATCTTTTCATCCAACATGGGGCTCAAACTCATTACTCTTGAGATCAAGAGTCTCATGCTCTTCTGACTGAGCCTTCCAGGCATGCCCCCCCTTTCTCATTTCTAATGTGTTTGTATTTTCTTTCTCTTTTTCCTTGATTAAGCTAGTTATAAGTGTATTTATTTTATTAACTCCCCAGAAATGATCAGATATTACTGAAACTATCAAATTAGAAAATAGTATACTCTAATTTATCAATGTCTACCTTTATCTTTAACAATATTTCTTTCATTATTATTTGTAATTTTTTATTGGACTTTCAGTTTATTTATTTTTTTTTCTTTTGATTCATAAAGCAATGAATTGTCCTCCAAAGACAACTTTGACTACATTCTTTAGGTTTGTAAAAGTAGCATCCTCTGAAGTTTATTTATGATTAGTAAGTATTCAGTAATTATGTTTTTTCTTTCCAATTTAACCCAAGATTATTTAGGAAAGTTAGTGTTTTAAGCATTTAAGCATTTGGGAATTTGTGTTTATATTTTCCTGTCACTTTACCATTTTATCACACTATGGCTAGAGAATGTGAGCTGCATTATTTCTACTTTGAAATTTTTTGAGGTTTCTTTGTGTATAGAAAATTTATTTTATTTAATTTAAATGTTTTAATGTTTATTTATATTTGAGGGAGAGAGAGAGAGAGAGAGAGAGAGAGAGAGAGAGAGAGAGAGACAGTGCAAGCAGTGGAGGGGCAGAGAAAAAGAGGGAGACAGTATTTGAAACAGACTCTAGGCTCTGAGCTGTCAGCACAGATTCCGATGCGGGACTCATGAGCCATGAGATCATGACCTGAGCAGAAGTCAGATGCTTAACCAACTGAGCCACCTGACTGAGCGCCCAGAAAATTTACTTTTAAAATCAAGCCGTTAACATTACAAAATTCACAAATGTTTTTAAGGAGTACAAGTCTTCTAAAAAGCAAATGGCTTATTTACTACCAGGAATAGTAAACCTTAATTATTTGTTCATTAGCTTTTCTTAATAAGGGACCTCTCTCTTCCCTTCCATCTTAAGGATACTTACAGCCTCTTCAGCTTGTCTCTTGTAAGATTTCACTTTGGCCTGAAGTTTGTCTACCAAATCCTGAAGCCTGAGAATATTTTTCCGATCTTCTTCCGTCTGAAAGATTATAAAAACCACAGGGCCTTACTTCAAAACCACTTGACCATTGTATCGTTGTATATGAATGTTTCACGTATGTATGGGAAGCACTTAGCTGATAAAAACTGTTGGTGTACCTGGTAAGTGAGTTCCTTCACTCTCCTCTCGTGTTTGCGCAGACCTTTCACGGCATCAGCGCTGCGCTTTTGTTCACTCTCAACCTCTCCTTCCAGCTCACGCACCTACAAATAAGTAGGCTCTTAAGAACTTTGAACTAATAAGGCACCAGGAGTAAATGGAAGTAGACAGAGATTGAGAGACCCACCCTGGCCTCCAGTTTCTGGATCTGCTTCTTCCCGCCCTTCAGGGCCAGCTGCTCAGCCTCATCCAGACGGTGCTGAAGGTCCTTCACCGTCTGCTCCAGGTTCTTCTT